AGAAGGTGCAGTTTTTTACAAAAGCTGTAACTAAAAACTAAGTTTTTTTTACCAATAATGAATTGAACTCTTACATTTACTTCGCAGCTTCCTTGCAGGTCATGTGCCATGCCATGCAAGCTCCCTAGTTCCTGTCATATTACCTCCTGGGCTCCTGTCATATTATGTGAGCCCGTACTGGGTGAACTTGCTGCACCATGGACTCATCCTATGTGTATGACCCTACCCTAATACCCCCCCCCAACTCACCGACCCCACTACCACATGCAACCGTCACTGTCCCACTGCACTGCCCCAGTGGGGTCCTGGGTCCCTCTGCCCCACAGGCAGCATCACTGCCCTGCCCTGCCCCTATGGGTGGAGATGGGCAATAGGTGATAGAGGAAGGAGGGGCAGCCCAGGAATTCTGGTGGCAGCAGCACCAACAAGTAAAGTGGGGAGCAGTGCCTGGACCAGGAACTTTTGGGCCTCACTTCAACCACAGGGGGTCCACATGTGGACATCGGTAGTGTAAATAATTTGTCCATAGTAGTGTGATATTAGTTTTTAATGATACTAGTTTTTAAACCTCTCCCCCAACCCCACCCCACACACCCAACTTCTTCTTAAGTTCAGAATTACTGGGTTCCTATATGTTTTTTCACAGGCTGGATATTCTAGTTGTTCCTGTCTTGATGTGAAATACTTTCTCAGAGGTTCTATCTTTGGGTGTAGACACTGGTACATTTGGAGCCATTTCAAAAGGAGGAATAGCCCTTATGTTCTAATTGTTATAACTTTTGAAATGATTACAAATATACGTATGCCCACAATCTTATATAGATTTAACGAAATCTGTGTTAAATGGATTTAAAACTGGCTTATGGGCATCTGAAAATGTAATTGTAATGGTTAATTTCGGAGACCTAAGAAAAGAGATCAATAATGAAATTTGTGTTTGAAGTGCGCTAGCATCTCTGCTAGCACAGCAAAAAGTCATTAAGGTAGCCAAACTGGCATGCATACTACAGGTGACATGGGTAGCCTGGGTGTGCTTCATGGCAAATGGGAGGGGACAATAAGCACAGTGGGAAATAGGGCAGGGAACAGAAAGCAGAGCAGCAGATCAGGCAGGGGAAGGGAATCAGTGTGGCACCTGGGGAGGATTTGGGGTTAATCTGTGGCAGGCCTGTCATAAAGGTTGGTCCCCACTGGCTAGAACTTGTTAACTTTGTCAGATACATTACATGCATGTTGTAGTACAGTGTTGGGATGTAAATATCATTTAAAATACTCATTTAACTTCCTCTAATTATATTATAAATGATTAACTGATAACAAGCTCTGCACTGAGAAGGAGGTGCAAGGGTAACTACTACCTATAGCCTGAGAGGAAAGAGCCAGTAGCTTAATGACTTCTCAGTTGAGCACTTAGTTGCTCTTCACAGGTGTTTATCCTCCCTGCTCTTCCCCTCCCTGTCCACCGTCTACCTTCTGATTCTTGCTGGGGCACTGTGCAGCTTCCCTTTGCTGCCAGACTGTGCCTGCCTGGAGCCCATAATTTACCAATAATGTAAACCTATAACTGCTGTATCTTACTCTGCATTTGGTCATCTGCTTAGTTTGGTGCATCCTCATTATAAATACAGCAATAAATATTAGCATGACAGAAAAGGAATGTGGACATGGCATGAGCTTAAAAGTAGGAGCCTACCCAAATTGTGATTTCACAGATTTTGCAAAAAGTAGGATTACCTGAAAAATCCATGGGCCAAACCCCCCCCCCAAAAATGTAATGAAAATAATCAGGGTAGTGAGAAATCCCACTGGGGTGTGAGAATGAGGGGCCTGCCTACTTGAAGGGCTGCCACAACCGCTCCCCCCCCACCCTTATTGCTGATTAGCTGTGAGGGCTGTCGGTCATCCAGCCCCGCCCCTCCATCAGTAAGCAGCAAGGGATGGGGCTCCATGACAGGCAGTCAATCAGTCATGAGCAGTGTTGCTGTTCCAGTGGATGTTCCTGAGAGCAGACATTTAAGTGCATAGAGAACTCTCCTGCTAAGAACTTAGGTGCCTAGGAATTTTACGCACCTCCAGTTGGTGTTTGTTGAGGATCTGTGTTTTGAATTTAGGTGTCTATAATGGACTTTTGATGGCACTTGCTTTTAAATCTCTTTTGGCCTCCACTCAAGTCTTTCTGTCTGATTGCAATTGTAAACAAGACAACAAAGTGCTATTGGGATGACAGCCGAAGTGTTGGGTGAGGGCACATTGCAGATTGCTTGGCGTTATGGTAATAGAGAACACCTACTGCCTAGATGGCATCTACTCAAGAGGAAAAAGCAATTTAATAATGTTTTTAATATACTTTATTCACATTGGGCCATAGGTGGCAGTAGGTGGGGCTAACAGGACTTAGTCCCCCTCACAAACTTTTTGTGGCGGCCGGCAACAACAGCAGCATCAGAGCACCGCTGTCCTGTAGCACCCAGTGCTGCTTGGCATGAAGCTGTTCCGCCACCACCGTGTATAGCACCACCGCATGCTGGCCCTGCAACAGCCCTCAGACAGGGCTCAGCCCCCGAAATAATATTTGCCCTCACTGCTTATGATTGAGGCTGATTCTGCCAACCCTTGCTTCTTGTGTTTATAATCTGAGTAAAGTAGGTACAAAACACTCTTATTGTGGAAGTGCTCAGAACAATCTGAGTTGCTGCTGTTATACACTGCCCAGTAGGGCTGTGCAAAACACCATCGTTTCATTTTGAAGGGGCAGTATTTCGTTTTATCATTTGGTTTTGAAGCACGGTCCCATTTCATTTTGTTGAAACTGTTTCGCTGTTTTGACATGTTTCGAGGTTTTGTCCATACACTATAATGGGGAATCATGAAAATGCCTAATGCAAATCTTGCCTGATTTGGATGAAATTGTAGGGATCGTAGCCCCTTCTGAGGGCATGAAGCCTGCCAAGTTTCAAGGAGATGGGTGCAGAGGTTTCTGGGAAACTGCACCTCAAACTGTTCAAAGCACAGCTCCTGACACCTGCCGACAGCGGCAGCCTCCTCTCACCTGGCACGCAGATCTGGAGGCCTATGCTGGACTCCTCCCAGGGGTGTGGGCCCCCGGATCTGTGCGATGGATGAGAGGAGGCTGCCTCTGCCATCTGGGACTGGGGCTGGGCGCAGGCTGTGCCCAGCACTGGAGAAGATTGCTGCTGCCGCCTCTCATTTAGCATGCAGATCCGGGGGCTTGCACCCCTAGGAGGAGTCCAACACAGCTCCGGATCCCTCCTGGGGATATGGGCCCCTGGATCTGTCATCCAGCACACAGGAGGCTGCTGCTGCTGCTGCTGCCTGGGCACTGAAGCCAAGTAAGCCTAGCTTCGAAACATTTCAAAACTTTTGAAACATTTCGAGTGCCCTCAGCTGTTTCAAAGCCTTTTTTTTTTTATTTCCACTTCTGTTTCAAGCTCAAAACGCATTGAAGCAGCTTCAAAATGAAGCACCTGGTGAAATTTTGCACAGCTCTACTGCCCAGGTGTCACTGAAATCAAAATATGGAGGTCTACCAAGGTTTTCCTCACAGTGGTTTCAATGCATCTTAAGGGAGAACTTTAGATTTAAACTGATGTAATTTCCTTACACAAATAGCTCCCCGTGCCACTCCTGTTTGTTAGGGTGTTCCTATAGGCAGTATTCTGCAGGTTGACATGTGCTAGCCACAATGGGTTTTTTTGCTTTGCTTTGTTTCTCTGTCCTCTTTTTCCTTTGAAATGCGTCCCACAAGGAGGCATGTGGCAGATGCTGTAATTTGCATTAGTGGAATTTTTAGGTTCTTGTTGAAGGTGGATGTTAGGCTTTGTGTGTGGCAGGAATGGTGCAGAGGGATTGGGTAGATTAGGAGAATCTGGTTGATTAGTACATACTGGGCGCATCTATAAGAGGCATTTACTGTAGAATTGCCTAATTAGCTCTGCAATGAAATCTCAGCATCTACACGTGCTGCCCTATTAGGGCTCAGGAAACTAATAAATGCTGCTGTAGGTTAGTATTTGTAAACACTTGTAAACTACCCTGTGGCAGTGTTTAGTTCACTGCAACACATGTGTAGACATTGATGAGGCTGGCTGGGGCTAGCGCCACACTGGAACACCCTCCTGCCCCAGCCAGCCCCTCTGCAGCATGTTGATCCAGGTCAGAGCAGCCATGAGCTGGCAGGCTGACCCCTCTTGCCCTCTGCCAGCTGGGGCTACTCTGACCCAGCTCAACATGCTGTGGTCCCAGGCACACATGTAAACGCAGTGCCTGGGAGCAATAAACTGCGATGTAAATTGCACCAGAGTTTATTCAATCTCTTTCATAGCACTGTTTAGAAAGCTTGTGGCAGTTAGAAATAGGAAGTCACCAGGCACTCTGCATTCTGGATGGGCTCTCTCCAAACCCGGTTGTACAGCCTCTTTCCTCTACCAGTACTCCTCCCTCCATGTGAGTATTCATCAATATTAATAGGACTGGTTACATGGATAAAAGCTTTTAGTAAAAGCAAAAGATCTCACATCCTGTAAGCCAGCTCCTCAAAACTAGTTTTTGTTCTCTAGTGCCACTTGAATGGCCATTGAGGGTTTTTAGGACATTATAGTAGGAACTCAGCATCCTTCATGAAAGAGGGCCTTAACATAGGGCATTGAGCAGAACTGAACCAGACTGTTACCCTTCCAGCTGAACACAGCCATCTTCTACTGATCACAACTGAGGCAGAGAGGAAGCATCTTTTAAAACAAACATTACTGAGTACAGTAGAAACAAGCTTCCTACTTTTCAATTCAGTAGCTAAATAAAACCTGCTTTCTGAGACAGTCCATAATGTATTTTATTAAAAAGAGGGAAAAAGGCATGAAAATGAAGGCTTCTCAGGCAGAGTCCTAGAAGGTAAGAGGCAGTCCTAAATTTTTGAGAGAGCATATTACAGGAAAATGTGATGTGGTTAAAAGCCAGTCATGTTGGTGACACCCTGGTGAAAATTTCCACTGTACAAGGTATTTTTCTGCTGCATTCCAGTGTTTGACAATGTAGTCAGCGCTATACAACTGCAGATTGAAAACAAGATACAGTTGCCAATACTAAGGGTTCCTGCAACAATAGCTCTTGCTTATGTGTACGACTTCCTCATGCTTCTACAAATAACTTTGCAGTTATTTTAAAATAGTTTTTAACGATTTATAAGATAGTGAATTGGAATCCCAGAGAAAATAGCCCTGCTGTGTGTGTTAAAATTACGTTAGTACAGTATATAGTATTTGTTTAGTGATGACCATTCACTTGGCATCAAAAGACACAAGATAAAGATATGTCCTTGCCTTGAAGCGTTGATGCTTGAAAAGACACACAGAAGAAATAAAGGATGCAGTAAAAAAATTAGAGGAAGCAATGTCCCAGAGCTGT